TCTCTCCCTTCCTCTCTGTACAAAATCAATAAAATATATTTTTAAAAAAAAGTGTTTGGGAAACCTGGGGGTCTGACGGGCTGGGGAGATGGGGAGGCTCTGTGAGAATCGGCTGCTTTGCTTGTTCCGAGTGTGTTGAGAACTGCTCTGTGCGTGGCCCTGTCTGGATAATGCTGGGGACGCAGTGGTGGCAGAGACGGCCCCAGCCCTGCCCCTACAGGGCCGGGAGTCTGGGGAGAAACAGGCCCTTCAGGGACAGTGAGGCCCCTGATGGGTTGGGCTGAAGGAATCTGAGGGGAGCACGAGCTGGCTTGGCTCAACAGACAGAGCGTCAGCCTGCGGTCTGAAGAGTCCCGGGTTCGATTCCAGGCAAGGGCACAGGCCCGGGTTGTGGGCTGGATCCCCAGTAGGGCTCATGCAGGAGGCAGCAGTCAATCAATGATTCTCTCTCGTCATTGGTGTTTCTTTTTCTTTTTTAAAATATATTTTATTGATTTTTTTTATAGAGAGGAAGGGAGGGGGATAGAGAGCTAGAAACATTGATGAGAGAGAAACATTGATCAGTTGCCTCTTGCACACCCCCTACTGGGGATGTGCCCGCAACCAGGGTACATGCCCTTGACCGGAATCGAACTTGGGACCTTTCAGTCACAGGCCAATGTTCTTTCCACTGCGTCAAACCGGTTTGGGCTCATCATTGGTGTTTCTACCTTTCTCATCTCCCTTCTGTTCTCTGAAATCAATAAAATATATATTCTTGATTTTTATTTATTTATTTTTAAAATATATTTTATTGATTTTTTTTTTATAGAGAAGAAGAGAGAGGGATAGAGAGAAACATCGATGAGAGAGAATCATCGACCAGCTGCCTCTTGCACACCCCCTACTGGGGATGTGCCATCAACCAAGGCACATGCCCTTGACCGTAATTGAACCTGGGACCTTTCAGTTCACAGGCCGACGCTCTATCCATTGAGCCACACCGGTTTCGGCCAAAATTTATATATTTTTTAAAAAGGAATCTGGGGGGAGAAGGACAGCCCAGAGGGCCACCTGCCCTGCCTGGGGTCAGGGAGGGCTTCCTGGAAGAGGTGATATCCGAGCGAAGCCTGGAGGATGAGGAGGACTTAACGCGACAAAAAGGCTCGGAAGGCGTTCTGAGCAGGAGGAACAGCCCTGCCAAGGCCCAGACAAGAGGGAAATGTGTTTGTTCAAGGAGCTGAACGCTTGTTATGCAGCCAGAGAAGCGTTTCTCACTCCGGCTCTGTCCTGCCTGGGCGCCTCTGTCTGCAGTGGCGTCCGCACAGTGAGGCAGACGAAGTATAAGCTCTGGCCCCTGACTCCCATGGCTCTGCCCACTCCCTTGGAGGTGCCCTTGGAATCTTAGGTACTTTTTGTTGTTGTTCATCATCACCCGAAGACATTTTCCCCATTGATTTTTATTTTTTACATTGATTTCAGAGAGGAAGGGAGAAGGAGCGATAGAAACATCAATGATGAGAGAGCATCTTCGATCTGCTGTCTTCTGCATATCTCCCCACTGGGATCAAGTCTCCCGATCTAGGACATGTGCCCTGATGGGGAATCGAATTGTGACCTTCTGGTTCATAATTGATGCCTAACCACTGAACAAAACCGGCTGGAATCCATTGATTTTGAGTGGGAGGGAGGGGGAGAGAAAGGGTGAGAGAGAGAGGAGACAATTGAATTTGTTGCGTTGAGCAGGGGCTGGGATTGAATCTGCAACCCAGGTACATGCTCTTGACTGGGAATTGAACCCACAACCCTTTGTTGCCTAGAGCAGCACGCTAACCATTGAGCGGAACCATCTAGGGCTAAGACTTGCGTTCTCTTATTCGTTTTCAAGAGGGCTTCCTACTTGTGTAAACTTCAGGCCCTATTCAACCTGGGTCCACCTCTGTTCATTTTTGAGAGTAAATTCATCTTAGATCCAGTAATTTGTCTTTCCAGAAGTCATAAATGGTCTTCATTTATTGAGAACTTATAATATTTTGGGCCTTGTGCCAACCACTTTATATGTATTAACCCATTGATCCACTGAATTCGGCACAACAAACCTGGGAGGGAGTCTCACAAACCCTATTTTACAGATGAAAACGCTGAAACCAGAGAATTTTCCTGTATCCCCCCCCCAGTCACACAGTTAGTAAATGGCAGAGTCAGGACTCAAACACATGCCTTCTGGCTTCAGAGTCCAGTCTTTTCATATCATTATGAGTTATTATTATTATTTTTAATATGCTTTTGCCCTCGCCGGTTTGGCTCAGTGGATAGAGAGTCAGCCTATGGACTGAAGGTGCCAGGGTTTGATTCAGGTCAAGGGCACGTACCTTGGTTGCGGGCACATCCCCAGTAGGGGGTGTGCAGGAGGCAGCTGATTGGTGTTTCTCTCTCATCGATGTTTCTAGCTCTCTATCCCTCTCCTTTTCTCTCAGAAAAAAAATAAAAATAAAATATATTTATTTATTTATTTTTTAAAATATATTTTTTTATTGATTTTTTTACGGAGAGGAAGAGAAAGGAATAGTGAGTTAGAAACATCGATGAGAGAGAACCATCGATCAGCTGCCTCTTGCACACACCCTTCTGGGGATGTGCCCGCAACCAATGTACATACCCCTGATCGGAATCGAACCCGAGACCTTTCAGTCCGCAGACTGACGCTCTACCACTGAGCCAAACCGGCTTTGGCGGCATTGCAATGTTTAAATGGGCAGTTCCAAGGAACCATGAGGAGGTGACAGGTGAATAAAGAGTTGGAAAGCTGTCCACAGTAGCCACATAAAGGGCAAGGGACTACCAGGGACTTGCAATGTTTTCAACCACAAAATACAATTACTGGCAACCTCAGGGAATCTGGTCTGCCCGCTTCTAACTGTCATCACCTCCTGTAAGGGTACTCCATAGCATTCATCATCGCTTTTTAAAAAATTTATTGCCGAAACCGGTGTGGCTCAGTGGATAGAGCGTTGGCCTGCGGACTGAAAAGTCCCGGGTTCAATTCCGGCCAAGGGCATGTACCTTGGTTGCGGGCACATTCCCAGTAGGGAGCGTGCAAGAGGCAGCTGATCGATGACCCTCATCGATGTTTCTAACTATCTCTCTCCCTTCCTCTCTGTGAAAAATCAATAAGATATATATTAAAAAAATTCTTTATTGATTATGGTATCACATAATTGTCCTCATCCCCCCATTCCCATCCCAAACTCCTCCCCACATATGCCCCCACCCCCTTGTTGTCCGTGACCAATGTTAGGCTTATATGCATGCACACAAGTTCTTTGGTTGATCTCTCCTTCTTACCACACCCTTCCCTACTTTCCCTCTGAGGTTTGACAGTTTGATTGCTGCTTCTCTGCCTCTCGATCTGTTTATGTTCATCAGTTTATGTTGTTCATTATTTCCCCTAGATGCGTGAGATCATGTGATCCAAGAAATACCCTTATAAGAACCGAAACTGAGACAAGCCATCATGGTTATGCTGAGAGGCAAATGAATCAGTCTGTAGTGAGTTCCTTTCTGGGCCAACAGTTCTTTTGAGTCCCCATTTCAATGTCAAACAGCTCCTTATGTGTACATGTCAGCCATGGTATTTCAGGTCTGGTTGGTGGACAAATTGTGGTGCATTATGGCTTCTAACAACTGGTTCCTGCTTCCGTTTTGGTGAATGCATTATCCCCGGCTTCTGTAGCCAAATCCAGCTCATTCTCTTCTGAGCATCTTCCTCTGCTCAGGTGGTGGGCCACCCCCTCACCCTCAGGCCTCTCCTGCGCCCCTTTTACAAGACCGCTCCCACATTTGTTTATTATTTCACATTTTCTCATGCCTTCCCTCACGAGTCATGGACCAGTGCCTACTTATTGGAACCAGGAAATAAGGGAGCATGGAAAGGCCAGAGAGAGGAGACGGCGTCTGCCTCCTTCGAAGACGGTGATCCAGGCAGAGGGAAGTAGGCCAAACTTGCACAGCACCCTTGCGGATCATCAGCTCGACCCATTCCCGCGTCCACTCGTGGGGGGGCGCGGCGCCTTTAAGGATCCCGGAAACGGGCCGTGGGACCGGAAGTGACCCTCTTTATTTCCCCTCTTCACGTGGTGCAGGCGGGAAGTGACGCGCGGGGCCCGGGGAGCTGCGGACACCGAGGCCGACGGAGCGGGAGTCGCGGACGGACGCCGCGGGGTCTCCGGGACAGGTGACCGGGCGAGGGGGCCGGGAGCGCGCCCGGAGAGGGCGTGGCCTGGCGCCCCACGTGGAGGCAGGCGGCGCGGGCAGGGGAGCGAGCCGTCCGCGGGGGCGGGATCGGAGCACTCCGCGGGGGGCGGGGACTGGACGCCCACATGGGGAGCTAGCTAGTGGGGCGCTGGCGGGGCGGGACGTCGGCGAGTGGGCAGGGCCCCGGCGTGGACGGGCAGCAGGGGGGTGAGGTCGAAAAGTTATTACGCCCGCCCTTGGGGGGGCGGGGCCAATGTGTAACCCCGGGAGCTCGGGGGCGGGGCCGGGGCGCTGGCTGGACAGGGCTGGGGGCGGGGCCAGAAAGTTTTGCCCGATCGGGGAGCGGGTCCAGGTCCTCGGCGGGGAAGTCAGGGGCGGGTCTAGAGGCTGACGTGCAGGCGAGGGCGGGACCAAAAAGTTGCCGGGGGATGAAGGGTCCTGGCCGGGGGAATGCTGGGGTGGAGCCAGAAAGTTTTGCTGGAGTCCGGGTGGGGAGGGGGGCAAGTTCAGAGCTTCGGCGGGGAAGCCGGAAGCCCCGTGGTGGGGTACCGGGGTGCGGGGGTTGCAAATATTGACTCGACCTGGAAGGGGCGGGGCCGAGGGGGCGTGACTAAGAAGGTCGGTTGGTTAAGCCGGAGGCGTGGCCGATGAGAGCTGGCGGGCTGGGGGCGGGGCCGGCGTCATAACGCGAGAAGGAGGGGGCGGGTCCCAGCGGTTGCTTGGGGACCGGGGGGCGGGGCCAGAAGGTCGGTGGGGGGGAAGTCGGAAGCCGGGCCAGATGAATGACACGGGGCGTGGGCGGGGCCAGAAAGTTTGCCCCGGCAGAGGGGCGGGGCCGCAGAGCTCCCGGCGAGGCGGATGCTGGCGTTCTTTCCCGTGAAGCAGCGGGCGGGTCGGGGAAATTCCGTGTCCGGACGGGGCGAGTGTTGCCTAGGAAGATCGGGCTGGGCGCGGGGAGCCTCGCCAGTGGGTACCGGGCCTGTGTTCGGGACCTTTGCGGGGAGGCAGCTGCCTTATTTTCGCGATGGTGGTGGGAACGCGGCTGGGACGTGTGGGTTTAGTATGTTCTCCGAGGGTCGGGGCAGCCTGAGGGAGTGGGAATCGAGCCTTTTTTTTTTTTTTTTTTTTTAAAGAGTGTGGAGTTTCGGGATGTTTCTGAAACTTTCCTGGGATAGAAGTGAGGTTAGAATCTTCACTGGGATGTGAGCGGCATCACAATGGGCCCAGGGCGGTGGGCCTGGAACTTCCAGGGACAGGTCCGGGGGAGGATGGAGGCGCGGGTAGAACTGTCCGCGCAGCGTGTGGAGGCTGGACTGGGGAACTTCCTTTGGAGGGAAAGCGGTGTTAGCTGGTCTAAGCTGTGGAGTGGGGCCAGAACTTTCCGGAGGTGGGTGTGCCCCTGGTGGGTCACAGATGGTGGGTCCAAATGGTCACAGGGGGCGGAGCTTAAAATTTTCCCGGGAAGGGGCGGGCAGGTATTTCAAGAAGAGCACTGGAGAGTGAGGACTAGAATTCTTGTGGGTTGCAGGGGTGTGTACACTACTGTGATGGGGGAGAGGAAGCAGGTTGGGTGGGGGCATTGGCCTTAGTTCTTTCGTGTCTTCTGCTCTCAGGAACCCCCAGTGCTGTATCCACGTTCTGCAAGGAAGGTTTGCTGGGACCCCGGCCCCACGCAGTCAGCAGAATGGTGAGATGGCAGGTTCTGAGTCTGAGCTTCGCAGCAGGGGGCTTGGGAGGAGGGGGTCCAGGTTCCAGACGCAGCACGTGGTTTTTCTTACCGTCTCCCCACTGCCTCCCTGTCTCAGTCAGCCACGCTGGATCTGAAATCCAAGGAGGAGAAGGATGCTGAACTGGACAAGAGGATTGAGGCTCTTCGACGGAAGAATGAGGCCCTCATCCGGCGCTACCAGGTGCCCTAGCCCTGCCCTGGGAGACCCCATCCCCTCTCCTCCCTGCAGTGAGTTTCCCTCACCTCTCCTTTTCTTAAAACCTTTTCATGGCGCCCCTTCACTCCCAGGATAAAAGCCGAAGGCCTTAGCCTGGCATTCCTTCCTCCCTCCATGCCATCATTCCATCGCTTATTCACAAATGCTCACCGAGGCCTTGGCTGTCCCAGGCCCTGTGCCGAGTGGGGTCTGCCTTTCTGGGGCGACAGCCCAGTGGGGGCACAGAACTGTCTTCAGTCAGTGTGACCAGAGTAGGCAGGCTGGCATCTTTGGGGGTCTTTGGGAGCCCAGCCTGGAGGATATCATGGAGGGCTTCCTGGAGGAGGGGGTTCTGAGGCCTGAAGGGTGAGTAGACATTAGCCTGTTGGAAAGTAGAACAGAGCATGTTTCAAGCAGAGGAAACAGTTTGTGTAAAAACTTGGAACTTAGAACTAGAGGGTCAGTGGGGAACATTGGCCTGGAGAGGTCAGCAGGGGCCAGACTGAGAGTTTGGACTTCTTCCTGAGGGCACTGGGGAGCCATGGAGGGCTTTTGAGAGGAGGGGGGCCAGGTCAGCATACTTTTTAGGAAGACCCCCTCTGGCTGCTGTGTGTGGTGGGAGAAGGTGGTAGCGGATGGGAGAAGGTGATGCCGGAGACAAGAGGCCAAGGAGGAAGCTGAGGCAGGGACCTTGGGGAGAGAGGAGGTGCTTGGCTTGGGACAGTGACTGATGGGACAGTGGTGTGAGGTGGAGGGGAGTGGGGAGAGTCCAGGACAAGGTCCAGGTCCCCGTCAAAGGTGACAGGAGGTGGTGGGCTGTCCCAGAGCTGGGCCTGGGAGGAGGATGGGGTTTCATTCATTCATTCTCCATCCATTCATTAAAACCAAAAGCATATTGGGTTTCCGTTGTGTGCCAGGCAGTGTTCTAGGCTCTGGGCTACATCAGCACAAAGCAGACAGACGGCCCGGCCCTCGGGCAGATTCTGTTGCAGTGGGAGGCAGACAACAGGCAAAATGGACGTAATGCCAGGGACGAGGAGGGGCGGAGAACGGCAGGGGAGCGGGTCTCTAGCTGGGCAGGGAAGGCCGCCTTAGGAAGGGGAGCATTGAGCGGAGCCCTGAAGGAGGGGAAGTGTTTCCGGCTGAGGAAACGGCAGGTGCAAAGGCCCTGAAACAGGTGGCGCCCGCTATGTTCTCGGAGCAGCGAGGAGCCAGAGTGGGTGAGGGTGAGAGATGAGGGGAGTGGTGAGCAGGTCAGACCTCAGGCTGTGAGGGAGCCTGCCAGCATACAGAGTCCGTCAGAGACAGACAGACAGACAGAGCCAGTAGGAGATGAAAGAGACGGGAGGGAATACAGGTAGACAAGCACACGCTCAACGGCAAAAAATAAGGAAAACAGGAAGAGACGGAGGGTACACACGCACTGGACAGGAGTGGGGAGGGCAGGAGCAGCGTGGAGCTCTTTCCGCCCCTGGAAACAGTCTCCCCAGAGGCCCTCCGTCCCTCACCGCCTCAGGCTCCACTCAGATGTGTCCTCACGCAGAGACAGGCAGCACCGGAGGGGGAGCCGGTGGCTGCGGTTTGGGGGAAGATGCTGAGGTCACCAGCCTTCTCGCCTGGAGCTCAGGAGAGAGGCTGGGCAGGGGCTTTGGAGTTCAGCCATGCACTCCCCCCACACTCACCCTGCTGTTTGCTCCTAGGAGATCGAGGAGGATCGGAAAAAAGCTGAGCTGGAGGGCGTGGCCGTGACAGCTCCCCGGAAGGGCCGCTCGCTGGAGAAGGAGAATGTGGCCGTGGACGTGGTGAGCCCCACACTGCAGGGGGACAGCAGAGGACAGGGAGCGGGGAGCTGGGCCCTGAGATCACGTTAACGGCCCCGATCTGTGGACAGCAGAGGACAGGGAGCGGGGAGCTGGGCCCCGAGATCACGTTAACGGCCCCGGCAGCCGCCCTGGGCCGCCTCGTCTCCGCGCTCGGTGACTGGAATTTTCCTTTCCCGTCACAGGAGAAGAACCAGGGTCCTTTCCGGAGGGCTCCTGGGACGCCGCGGCCCCCCGGGACCGGCAGGGGAGGAGGCCGGGCAGGCGTGGGCCGGGCCCCCCGCTCCTGGGAGGACGGTCCTGGGGAGCCGCCTCGGGGAGGAGCTGGCAGCCGCGGCCGGAGGGGCCGGGGCAGGGGGTCCCCCCATCTCTCTGGAGCTGGAGATTCCTCCGCTGCCGACCGCAAGTCCAAGGTAGGAGCTGGGAAGGGCTCTCCCGTCTCAGATGGACCGTTTGCCTGTTTGTCCATCTTTCTGTGCGTCTTCTTCTCTTTCAGCTCCTCCATCTGGCTCTTTCTCTCTCCCCCTCTTGACCAGTGCCTGTGTGTATTCGCCCTGTCTCTGTTCTCCTCCTCCTCCTCTTTTTTTTTCTGTCAGGTGTGTGCTCACCCATCTGCCTTCCTTCGCCTGTCTCTTTCTTCTCTTACTGGCTCTGTTTGTCTGTCTCTGATAAACTCTGTGAGTCTGGCAGGCTCTGTCCAGTACGTGTGCTTCCGCTCTTTCTCCTCTAGATTTGTTTGTGGGGAACAGTGACGTTCTTACTGTAACTCCGGCCACTGCCCTGACACTCAGGTTAGCGGGGTGGAGGCTGTCTAGCATAGTGGCTCAGAGTCCGCCATGGACTGGGGGTCATCTTAGTTCTCTTTGTTCCCTGTCCTGGGGCAGCTCAGTTCTCCTCTAGAAGCTTCTGGGTTCTTGCTCTTAACTGGGAAGAACGTCTGGTTTAAAGGTTATAAACATTCGTCTCATCAGGCACAGAAACCCCAAGTAAGTGCTCAGTGAACATGACCTATGGGTGTCTATTATTTGTATGAGAGGCCCGGTGCACGGAATGTGTGCACGGGTGGGGTCCCTTGGCCTGGCCAGCGATCAGGGCTGATCGGGGCCTTCTGGCTGCCAGCTGGGGCCTCCCTTCCCTGGCTGCCGCCTGGCCTTCCCGCTACCCCCACATCGTCAGCACATGTCATACCGAGCAATTGAACTCCCAGTCTCTTGGTCGAACTCCCACGGGGACACTTTGCATATTAGTCTTTTATATATATATATATATATATATATATATATATATGGCTATGCTAAGCTGCTGTAACCAAAAGACCCCACTTAAGTCAGGTGGAAGTTTATTTCTCTCTTATATGCTGAGCCCTGGGAGTAAAAATGTCAACTCTAGCAGCTTGGCTGTGTGCTTATATAAAATTTTGTTACCATGGAGGAAGGGGAGAATGGATTGTGGGGGAGTGGGGGCGTCACCAAGCCATCTGCCAGGTTGTTGTCATTTCTATGGTGACCATGGTGTCTCAAGGGTCCCCAACCCCTCCCCCAGGTTCAGTGTTTTGCTAGAAAGATTCCTGACTGAAATACATTACAGTGAAAGAATTCAAAGCAGAATCAGCAGAAGGGAAAGACATGTGGGCTGAAATCCGGCGGAGACCAGCTTGCCCAGTGGGGTTATACAGTTTGCACCCAATCCCTCCAGCATTGCCCTGGCCGGTGCGGCTCAGGGTGAGCATCGTCCCACGCACTGAAAGGTCGCTGGTTTGATTCCGGTCAAGTCGCAGGCCTGGGTTTCAGGCTCGGTCCCTAGGAGGCGATGTGCAGGGGGCAGCCCGTCAGTGTTCCTCTCTCACATCACTGCTCCTCTCCCTCTCCCCCTCTCTCTCTCAAATCAGTAAAAAAATATTTTTAAAAAGTACTCAAGCATTGAGGATCACCTACCAGGGAATCTAATAGAAACCTAGTGCCCAAGTTTTTTTTTTTTTTTTTTTTAACATATATATATATATATATATATATATATATATATATATTTTAATTGATTTTAGTGAGGAAGGGAGAGAGAGAAGTAGAAATATCAATGATGAGAAAAAATCATTGATTGGCTGCCTCTTGCATGTCCCCTACGGGGGTGGGGGGATCAAGCCCACAACCTGGGGATATGCCCTTGGCCGGAATCGAATCTGGGACCCTTTAGTCCACAGGCTGACGCTATCCACTGAGCCAAACTGGCTCTGGCCAGGGTTTCTACTGGGGGCTAGCCATGTAGGTCTCTGCTTGGTATGTATCCAGATTCCTGATCCCAACATGGCATTCAGCATGTACCCTATTGATGGCACAAACCGAGGCACAGCGAGTTCTCCTTATTGATGAATGCTGACGGGAACACACTGGAGCCAAATTCCCGCCAAGGGCTGGCCTTAGGAAGAGACACTTGGCTGTCATGGTAACTCTCCAGCACAGGAGCTGAGTGGTTCTTGCTGACCCCCGGTGTCTCTGTACCCCCCCCAGGAGTGGGAGGAGCGGCGCAAGCAGAACATCGAGAAGATGAACGAAGAGATGGAGAAGATTGCGGAGTATGAGCGCAACCAGCGGGTCAGTGCCAGGGTGTCCCCGGTGTGAGGCAGGCTGCCAGGCCGGGGTGAGCCCGCCAACCCGGTCCCTGTGCCCGCAGGAGGGCGTGCTGGAGCCCAACCCGGTGCGGAACTTCCTGGACGACCCGCGGCGGCGCAGCGGGCCCCTGGAGGAGCCCGAGCGGGACCGCCGGGAGGGCAGCCGCAGGCACGGGCGCAACTGGGGCGGCTCGGACTTCGAGCGCGTGCGCTGCGGCCTGGAGCACGAGCGGCAGGTGGGCCAGAATCTCACCCCGGCAAACGTCCTTGGTGTTTGCTGAGCGGCAGGCACAGCCGGGAGCCAGACAGCAGGGAGGCAGAGCCAGGGAGAGGCAGCAACAGGCTGGCTCTCGCCCCAAGTGACCTGCTGGGTCTGTGTCAGGACCACACTGCTTCCTGTCCCCTTCCTAATGTCATTAATGTTTGCTGCCCAGTGAGTGCCGGGCGCTGTCCTAGGTGCTGCAGCCAAGGGTTAGCTAGACAAAGCCCCGTCCTGAAGTTATTCTGGTGGGAGCTCAATGAATGGATATGTAGGTTTCTTCTCACAAAACTGTATGCACACTTTTTTTTTTTTTATAATAATATATTTTATTGATTTTCTACAGAGAGGAGGGGAAAGGGATAGAGAGCTAGAAACATTGATGAGAGAAAACCATCAACCAGCTGCCTTCTGCACCTCCCCCACTGGGGATGTGCCCGCAACCAGTGTCATGCCCTTGACTGGAATCGAACCTGGGACCCTTGAGTCCACAGACCAACGCTCTATCCACTGAGCCAAACCTGTCTCGGCTGTATGCACATTTTGAATGATTATAAAGTTAGTGTTTGTTAACATACAGTTCATTTTCAAAATTTCAAAGAATCTACAGAAATGAATAATTTTTTATCAATGCCTGTTTTCAAACTGGTGACCATTCTGGTCCAGGCACTGCTGACAACTCGAAGCAGCAGAATCGCATATATAAAGAATAATTTTGTTCGGTACTTATGCGCCCTCAGTTCGTCAACTGTTGCTGCTGGTGTTGTAAATTTTATTTTTTATGCATCCTCATAGAAAAGTCTAGTGGGTGCATTGTCTTTGTTCAAAGCTTAGTCTGGCTTCACCCATTATTTCAAATCAGTGAAACCTGAAAAGGAGTGAAAATTAAGTGAGTTCTCAGCTGCTAAGGTGTGTACACACACTTGGAATAATTATAGAGGTAGTGTTTGCACTGCATTTTCAAACTTCCAGGAGCATTTTAGGATGAAGCTCCTTTGCTTAAAGCTTAGTCTGGCTGCAAAGAAAAACCCCTCCATTGAGCTGTCAGCTGTGAAAGTGTGCATACGTGTTTTTGGGACACCCTGTGGCATGAGATGCAGGTAATTCACATGTCATGAAGAAGAATCCTGCAGGGTGAGGGACAGATCCGGGGTGGCCGCTCTGAGGAGGTGTCTGGAGCAGACCTGGTCCTAACCTCTGCCCTGGCGCCTCCGGTGTGAGCTTGAGCAGGGGACTCGGTCTCTGAGCTCGGAGGACCTGGGTGGCGGGGTGGGTGGCAGAACAGGCCCTGACTGCTGTGTGCTGTGGGCAGGGCCGCCGGGCTGGCCTGGGCGGTGCCAGCGACATGACGCTCTCCATGACGGGCCGGGAGCGCTCAGAGTACCTGCGCTGGAAGCAGGAGCGGGAGAAGATCGACCAGGAGCGGCTGCAGAGACACCGCAAGCCCACCGGCCAGTGGCGGCGGGAGTGGGACGCCGAGAAGACCGAGGGGATGTGAGTCTCGCTCCTGCCTGCCCCGTTCGGCTCCCTGCCCTGGGCCCTGACTGGTGTGCTCAGTGGTTGAGCGTTGGCACTCCTTTGACTGGCTCTGGTTTCTTACGCTGTATCAGTAATCGCAGTGGCAGGGCCGTGTGACCACCAGCTCTCAGGGGCACGGAAAAGCACCCCTTTCTCCTGTGTTCAGGGTCAGCTGTGGGTTCGACTGTGTGGCTTCTTTTTATAAAAAAAAATATATATATATTTTATTGATTTTTTACAGAGAGGAAAAGAGAGGAATAGATAGTCAGAAACATCGATGAGAGAGCGACATCGATCAGCTGCCTCCTGCACACCCCCCACTGGGGATGTGCCCGCAACCAAGGTACATGCCCTTGACCGGAATCGAACCTGGGACCTTTTGGTCCGCAGGCCGACGCTCTATCCACTGAGCCAGACCGGTTTTGGCAGGGCGCGGCTTCTTGAAGCAGGTTGAACTCAGTTCCCTGCTCCATGTGTGTTCACTCTGGGGGTCAGGCTGAGGGGAGCAGAACATGACTGGCAGATGTGCAAGAGGGAGAGTGGGTAAACCTCCCCATTTTATTAGCCACAGACCCAGCATCTCGGGGCGGGAACTGCCGGGACTCCGTGGCTGATGGTGTGGATGTAAATTCTCACTCAGGGAGGGCAGGAAGAATGGCGGACAGTGATTAGACCTTTGCATCCTCCCTCCATCCCTCTAATTTGTACCCCCCAACCCAGCGGTCAGCAAACTCATTAGGCAACAGAGCCAGATATCAACAGGACGACGATTGAAATTCCTTCTGAGAGCTGAAAACCGACTTCTGCGCACGGGCCACGAAGTTTCAATCGCACTGTACGTGCGCACCCACACGTGGTGTTTTGTGGAAGAGCCACATGTGGCTCTCGAGCCACAGTTTGCTGACCACTGCTCCAACCCAAACCCCTTATCCCAGTGGCATCATTATCCCCTGGTCTGACTTTGTCCCCTTCCGGGTCCAGGAAGAACCCAGCTAGCCGGACTTAAAGGAAGGCATCTTTGTATCGTTGGCAGGAGGACCAGCCTCCGTGTCAGCTGCTGAGGCTCTGAGGGTTGACAAGTCTTAGGGTCAGCAATGGTTTTACCCCATTGGGGTCCTTAGCTGCGTTGGGAGATTTCACACCTAGGAGTTTTTGTTGTTGTTTGTTTTCAATACTCACTTGAGTGTATGTGTTTTTAATTGATTTTAGAGAGAGAGGAAGGAGGAAAGAGAGAAACATGGATCGGTTGCTGTGACTGAGGATCAAACTGCACCTTTTAAAAAAATATATCTTTAGCCCTAGCCGGTTTGGCTCAGTGGATAGAAAATCAGCCTGTGGACTGAAGGGTCCCAGGTTCGATTCCAGTCAAGGGCACACGCCCGGGTTGCGGGTTCCATCCCCAGTAGGGGGTGTGCAGCAGGCAGCTGATCAGTGATGCTTCTCATCCTTGATGTTTCTATCTCCCTCTCCCTGTCCCTCTTTGCAATCAATAAAGAAAATTTGAAAAACAAAACAACAAAAAACAGAGTCAACCAATGAGCCTGGCTGATGTGGTTCACTTGGTTGGGAGTTGTACTGAGCCCGGGTTGCTCTCACATCAGTGTTTCTAAAAGTCAATTTAAAAAGAAAAAAGGACCAACCCACGAATAGGTAGAACAGCAGATCAATATTTCTCTAAAAAACAAAAACAAAAACCACACACAAGACCTGGGAAGAGGGTCGGGAGCAGCAGGCGGAGGCCTGGGGCGGGGGCTCCAGGTAGTGGGAGAGCCTGTGTCGCTGGGCAGGTGACGGACAGAAACCGGAAGTGAGACCAGCAGGAAGCTAGGGATCATGTACTTCCCAAGGTTTTGTTCTAGGGCGTCAAATACTGAATGTTTTCTTTCTGTGTGTGTCGTATGATGCCACATTTGCCTCTTGTCCGTCACCTGATCCTGCCCCCTCTTAATCAGTAACCTCTCCGGTTGACCATGTCCCCTGCTATGACCTTGATTTCTGCCTCTGGCCCCCAGCTCCCTCTTGGTTTGTTTTTGTTTTGTGAATCCTCACCTGGAGGACATTTTCTCCATGATATTTAGAGAGAGAGGGAGGGAGGGAGCCGGGGCAGAGACACACACACACACACACACACCCCCATTGGTTGCCTCCCGACTAGTGCCTGGGATTGAACCTGCAACCCAGGTACTTGCCCTTGACCAGGGATTGAACCCATGATCCTTTGGTGTGAGGCCAACACACTAATTACTGAGTGCAGCGGCCATGCCCATCTCCCTCTTTTCCCTTCCCACGCCTCTCGCTTCCACTGTCCCCGGTTCCTGCTCACCCTCTTCTCTCTCCCCAGGTTCAACCCCGCTGCCGCCCTGGAGCCATCTCACCGATATGGTGAGTGGGCGGGTGTTCGGGGCGGGGTAGGCAGCTGGCTGGGCCAGGTGCGGGGTGGGGGTTGTGCTGTGCCCCCCACCCCAACAACTCCTGGGTTCTGTTGCAGATGAGCAGGCCTGGGCCCGGCCTCCCAAGCCCCCCACTTTCAGGGAGTTCCTGTCCCAGCACAAAGCTGAGGTCAGCCGCAGGAAGAGGAAGAGCAGCCGCCCCCAGGCCAGGGCAGCCGCCCGTGCCTACAGGTGGGCACCCCTTCCGGGCACCTGCTCGCTCCCAGCGGGCCGGGCGGCCCCGCACCCTGTTCTCTGGCTGGTTTACTTGTGGCCGGTGTGTCTCAGGGCCCTTGTCTCTCTGGGTGAGGCCCTTCGTTTGGAGGGCCTGTCTCTCCTCGTCACTCATCTGTCCCCTCCTCCTCTTCCGCCCATCTCCGCTCTGCCACCTGTCCTCCCTCCATTGTCTGTCTGTCCCTGGCACCTGAAGACACACCCGCCATTCCTCCTGAGTGCTCTAACACAACCAGCCTCTCTCCCCCCTAGTTGAGTTTTGACCCTCTGGGGAGGAGCGGGAGAGGGAGCCCCTTCTTCCTGTGCCCCGCAGGCCTCACGACCCTTCCCTCTGACCTTCCAGTGACCACGATGACCGCTGGGAGACGAAGGAGGCGGAGTCCCCGGCCCCCGAGGCCTCCCCGCCCGCTCCCCGCGAGGAGACGCCCGCACAGGTGAGGCGGACTGGTTTCTGGGCGGGGGTGTGGGGTGCTCGGACCCCCACCCTCTCTCTGACTTGCCTTGTGTCCCCACAGCTGCCCGAGACCCCAGCCCCTGCTCACCGGCCTCCTGAGGACCAGGGGGAGGAGGACCAGGGGGAGGAAGACGAAGAGGAGGAGGACGAAGGGGAGGATGAGGAATGGGAAGATGTGAGTGATGGCGAGGAGGAAATTGGAGAGGAAGAAGAAGCTGATGACGAAGAGGAGGAGGAGGAGGAGGAAGAAGAGGAAGAAGAGGAGGAGGGACCAGCCCAAGACCACCGACCCCAAGAATCTGAGCCCACGGGGAGCGCCGGCAGTGAGCAGGCCAGCAAAGAGCCCTCCAGCCCTGAGCAGCCCCTGGCACGGCCCCAGTCCCCGGCCACACCGTCCAGCCCCTTCTCCCCCGCTGGGGGCCACCAGCCCGTGTCTGACTGGGGCGAAGAGATGGAGCTGAACTCTCCCCGGACCAGCCACCCGGCCGATGCCCTCTCTCCGGGTGAGGCCTGGCCTTTTGGAAATGCATGAAGCTGGCTGCTTGTGTGTGTGTTCAAAGGGTGCATGGGCGGGGGTGAGGGGACCCTCAGGGGCTGGGCCCCGGGATCCCGTGTGCCCCACAGCCCTGGCGGCCTGGGAGGACAGTCCGTGCCCATGTGTGTACTGTCCTGGCCGATCTCTGGGATGCCCACCCCGGGGACTGCCCTGCTCTGGGTCCTGCAGAGCTCCCTCTAATAAAGTGCTCACGTTCAGTGACATTCCCATTCGGTGACATTCCCGTTCGGTGACATTCCCAAGCTGTGTCCTTGAACCCCCTTTTCCTCTGGCCCCTCTGTCTTGGGGGGCCATGCGGACAGGGAGGGGCTTGACCGGGCCTCCTGCTCCTCCAGGAGGTGACCAGCCAGCCCCTGCCTCCTTGGGGAGCGGGCCCAGCCTCCGAGGACCCCGGAAAGCTGAAGAGGAGGGCTCCGAGGCCGCTCCAGGTGGGGGAGCCAGGACCCTGGAGGTGGCTGCCTCCCCCCCTTCCTCTGGGGCGAGGGGAGGGGGCTTGGGGGGGTGATGGAGGGGGCTGGGCTCCATCACCAGTGTGTGGGGTAACAGCTGGACCTGGGGTGAAGTGAGAAGGTGAGGGGGCGGAGCTCAGGGGAGGATTCCTGGGGCCCAGTTACTAGGAACCCAGTGGAGGGCCTGGGGATGAGCAGGCAGAGCCAGGATGGGATTAGGGTTTAGAGGTGGGCCTGGGGGTTTGGAAATAGAGGGGTGGGGCTAAGGGCAGGATTAGGAATTTTAATAGATTAAAAAGAGTGGGGAGGGCAGTCTAATGGATTTAGATGTGAGCTGGATTAGATATTTGAGCTATTAGATATTAATTAGGTAAATTAGGATTTATTAATGGGGTAAATTAGATATTAATGGAGTAAATTAGGATAGAGATGCACACCCTATTAGAATGTTGGGTCTGAGACTGAACCGCAGGAGTGGGGTTAGGGTTTGGGGGCAGAGCCGGCGAAGGTCTGGTTAGAACTCAGCAGGCGGGCTAGGGCAAGGACAAGAGCGGGCAGGCGCAGTAGGGCAGTCACCTTAGAGGTAGGTTTAAGCCCATGAGGCGGGTGGGCTGGGGTCTGAGGACAAGAGTTTAGGGTGGGGGTGAGGCCAGGTGTCCTTGCGCCTTGTTAGCCAAGTGACCGTGATGTCGTTACTGCATTCCAGTTTGTTTATTGTAAAGAGGGTCCTGCTGCAAGGATTAGTGCGAGGCCCCTAAACCCCTTAGAACGGGGGCGCCTGTCGCCAAGCGCAGTGGAGGTGAGGGGCAGGGCCAGGCGGGCTGTCTTGGGGACTTCCCTCCGCTGACCGCCCCTTTTCTCCCCAGAGGTGGGCCCCGAGGGCCAGGAGACTGCGGAGATCACCGACTTCCAGAGGGTGCGTTTCTGCAAGGTGGTGGCGGCCGCCCCGCCGCCGGGGGCCGCCCGCTGACCGCCGCCCGCCCGCCCGCCCGCCGTCTCTGCACTAACTCCCCGCAGCCGCGCTCCTGCCTTTTGCTTCTGCCGCACCCCGGCCAGGAGAGGGTTAACGCGAGGGGGGAGGAGCCCGCGGCCGCGGCCGGCGTGGGGCCCCGGCTTTAGTCCAGTTTCACAAATGGGGGGACGCCGGGCCCGGATGGCCGGGAGTCTCCCAGTGACCCGCCTGCGGGGGTCCCGGCGGGTAGGTGCTAGTCCCCGGGCCGAGTGGCCTGCCGCCAGGAGATTCCTTCTCAGGCATGGCCGCTGGCGGCGACTCTGCAAGGACTTGAACCGCTCGGCCACCGGTTGTGTATTAAACGCAGCGCTTTCGCTAACCTTTGCACCGTGTTCCTGGCGGGGCGGCCTGGCTGCGGTGCTTGGCACAAGGCTTCTCTGCGGCGGAAGAGGCGGGAGGAAGGGTCTGCCTCTCCACCCCCTGACACCTATCCCCTTCCCCCCCTCCCACAGGCCTCCCCGAATTCCTGAAGACTCTGCTGGGTGGGCCCTGGAGCTTCCTGCCTCGGTGGGGGGGCGGCAGGAGGGGTGGTCTGCCGTCCTGGCTGTGCCTCCTCCTGGAGCCTGGCTTAGGGGGGAGAAATGCAGGTGGAGGGGGAGGAGCCGGGCAGGGGCGTGAGCGGGGCGTGGGGTTGAGCTGCAACTTGGGGCAGAGTATGGAGGAGACGGGGCTTTGTGGGGCCTGGTTAGGGTTCTGGGAGGGCCAGAATCTGGTGGGCGGAGGGAGAGCGGGAACGCATCAGGATATGAGGGGCCTCCAAGCCGGCTTAGATGGGAGTTCCTAACGCTGGTGTGGGGCGCAGCCGCCGAGAATTCGGTGCTGGAACGAGTGGAGTGCGGGGAAGAAAAGCGACCTGAGGGAGGGGAAGCCAGGGCAGAAGAGGACAGAATCGGATGCTGGAGTATATAGTCTTATTCAGAGGAAATGAAGCTGGAACGGGGGCTTGCGAGGCCTGAGCCTGGCAAGGGGGCGGGGCTCGGAGGCGAGGCTAGACGCCAGGAAGAAGCCTGAATCCCTTAAAGGGGAGAGGGTTAAGGCGCGGGGAGGAGCTAAGCGCTGGGCGGCCTCGCATTTAGGAGGCGTGGGAGCCCTGGCTGATGCGGCTCCGGTGGGCGGCCTCCCGCGCACCATCGCCCGTGAGCGCACCTGCCCGGGCGGGACTCTCCCCCGGCAGAGGGCGTGCAGGAGGCGGCCAATCGTATTCCATTCTCACAGCTGTTTCTCCCTCTCCTTCTCTGAAAGTCAATAAAGTAGGGGAGTTTTTCTAAGAAATAAGAGCCGTGGGTATGACCCCGAAGCACGGGCTAGACCTGTATTTGGAAAAGAAACAGGTATTACCGTTCTGGGGCGGGGCCAGAGGCCAGGGGGCGGGGCTAGGGCGCCGCCGTTGTCTTAGCTTGGTAATGGTTGGCCGGAGGCTGAGGGGGGCGGGGCTAGGAAGCGGAGGCGGCCCTTTTGCGAGGGGGCGTGGCCATGCTGGCGGGGCGCGGAGGTGGCCGCCGGGGGGCGGGGCCTGTGCGGGGGCGGGGCCTGTGCGGGCGCTGTGGGCCGAGCGGGCTGCGGCGATGCGGGGGACGAGCTGCGTGGGCGGCGGCGGCGAGAGCCCGGGCGGCGCGGGGCTGAGCGAAGGCCCGCGCGGCCGGTGGCTGCGCCTGGCTCCCGTCTGCGCCTACTTCCTCTGCGTGTCGCTGGCCGCGGTGCTGCTCGCCGTCTACTACGGTCTCATCTGGGCTCCCGCGCGGCCCCCCGCGGCCGCCGCCGGCCCGCCGCCGAGCGCGCCGTCCCCTCCGTGCGCCTGCCCCCCCGGGCGCGCCGCCCGCCCCGGCGCCCGCCGCCGCCGCCGCCCCCTGCCGCCTGGGAGCCGCCGGCGGGCCGCGACCCCAGCTCGAGCTGCCGCGCAGCCGCCGCCGCCGCCGCCGCCGCCAGATGCCCGGAGAGACCCCGGAGGCCGCGGGGGGGCGAGGACCAGGGTAACCCCCCTCCCGACCCTACGCCGCACCGCAGGCCCTCGAGATCCACCGAGGATGGATCGCCCCGCCGAGGATGCCCGTTCCCGTCCGGCCGGGATTCCGTCTTCACTGGAATAGCCTAGAGCTTGTGGAGCTGTCATCCTGAAGAACGGGGGTGCAGGGGAGCTGGCTCGGGGCGCCCACCCTCTGGCAGGCCACCGCCCGTCCCTCCCTCCAGAGGATCCTGAGCGCAGAGCCCACGGCCCCCTCCTCTCTGGCTCTCCGTGTCCCTCCGTCCACGTCCACCTGCAATAAACTCCAGACCCTCCTCTCCGGTGCTGCTGGTCTTGTCTGCTCGAGTTTGTGAGGGTCTTTTCCTGGCGTCTGGTCTCTGTCTGTCTTGCTCGGAGGGGCTGGGTGTGTTCCTCCCTTCCTACGGGGTCCCTTTTCTTGCATCCCCCTCATGCAGTTTTTGGGGTGGGGTGGGAAACAGAGGCTTATCTGCCACAGGGCAGTTGAAGGTCAGACAGTGAGAACTTCACAGGCTTTTTGCATGCTTGGGGCAGAGGACAGGCGCCTTTGGCGACAGCCGAGGGTCCGCCTTCCTGTCACAGCCCAGGAGACGGGTGAGAGGTGGGATAATGTCAAGCAAGAGCTGGGGTTCTGGGGTTTGTGCTCAGTGTGATGACAATGTCAGGGACAGAGGCCAAGCCGCTCTGAGATGCCAGGATGCTGCTGGGACGGCAGCTTCTCCTGGGGTCCGAGGGGAGCATGGGCAGGAGGTGGTGGCTGCTCTGCCTCCCGGAAACCAGGAAGGAAGTGCTCAAAGATGAACTGTGTTTCAGGCCCAATCCCCAGTTGCCTCCGGAGATGAGTGCAGCCTCCCTGGGCTGCGGGCTTCGGGCAGACCGAGGCAGGGACACGGTCCTGCTGAGGGAGGTGGCTGAGCACACTGTCCCCCCTACCAGCCTGAGGCCTGGCTCCGGGCAGGGCACCGGCCCCGCAGGCAGGTAGCAGCTTTCCTATCCGGCCTTCTCCCTCGAACTGAGATCCCGGGAGAGGGGAGCTCAGCCTCCTCCCTCAGGCAGGCGCCTCTGTGGATGCTGTGCTGGGAAGATCAGCTGTCTATTCTCTATGAAAAAATATATATTGATTTTTTTTAGAGAGAAAGGGAGAGGGATAGAGAGCTAGAAACATTGATCAGCTGCCTCTTGCTCGCCCCCTACTGGGGATGTGCCCACAACCAAGGTACATGCCCTTAATCGGAATCAAACTTGGGACCTTTTAGTCCGTAGACCAATGCTCTATCCACTGAGCCAAACAGTTTTCAGCAGCCACATCTGATTGGGAGTGGTTAGGGGGTGATCAGGCTGGCAGGCAGAAGCTGTTAGGGGCAATTAGGAAGTACAATCAGGAAGTACAAATCAAAACAGCAGGAAGTACTAACGAGGGATCTGAGCAGCGTCCCTCCATGGCCACCACCGGGGCCTATACTCTTTCTAGTTCTTTCTGTGCTCAGGACCAACCTCATCCTCAAGCAGTTTCCCCGGGTGCCCACAGATCCGGGCACCTGTGATCCCCTCATTCCCATCCATCAAATACAAGGAGGGGTTGCCCTACTGATGAGTCAAGGGCTTTTCTTCAACCTGGTTGCATCAACCTGGGTCACATGACAACGCAGAATCAATGCCTGTGCTATCGCTGGTTGGTTAAGACTTGGGAAGGTGTGATTACTCTGGAAGGTTTTGACCAATCAGGACCCACCATTGGATCTGACCAAAGCTACCCTGTTTCTCCGAAAATAAGACAGTGTCTTAAATTAATTTTTGCTCCCAAAGATGCGCTAGGTATTATTTTCAGGGGATGTCTTATTTTTCCATGAAGAAGAATACGGTACACATTTATTGTTAAATGAAAATAAAGGAAATTTGGGAGATCCAAGATGGCTGCGCCCAGGTGAACACCTAGCCGCAGCCGCACACAACAATTTCAATAAAATACAACTAAAATATAAAACGGACATTGCCCAGAACTACAGGAAGGTTGACTGACTGGAAATTCTACAGTGAGAAGCAAGGAGAAAACCAGAAGGAGGTGCGGAGGAGCTGGAAAAGCCAAGGTACGGAGACGCGGAGACGCGGTGCGCAGAGAGGACAGAGCCGGAGAGGAGGAAGGCCGAGTGCCTGGCGGGCGTTCCCTAGCGGAAAGGAGATAAAGCTCCGACTGTGCTGGGCCCCCGACTGCTCTGATCCCCAGTTTTAAGCCAGACCCCGGGGACTCAGGCTCAGCCATAGGGAGCCGGGCTGTAAGGTGGAACCCCGGGGAAGTGGCGAAAGGAGGTCCCAGCGGTGCGCACACTGCGCGCAGAGAAGGGACATTCGGCTGTGCCGCGGGCTTGCCCTGACGGGAAGGAGACTGGGGCTCCAGACTGCTCTGAACGCCACCTCCAACTCCACTTCCAACTGAACTGAACCCCAATACCGGGCTCATTGTGGGAGAGCATAGACTGTTTGGCAGCAGGCGAAAATCAAGGGCACCTTTCTCTCAGAGGCGCCGGCAGTGAGCTCTGAAGGACCCGCATAGGGCGGGGCTGACGGAAGCCAAAGCTGCAGGCTCCACCCTGAAACCCCGTCCCATCTGTAACTGCGAAATGCGACAACAAAATAGATCACAAACGAAAGAAATGGAGGACAAAAAGCGTCTGGATATAGAGTTCAAATCTACGCTTATAAGGTTTTTCAAGAATTTCCTAGAAAAGATGGATAAGGCCTATGAGGATATGAAAAGAGATCAACTAGAATTAATAAGGGATCAACAAGACATAAAGAATACATTGTCTGAAATAAAAAATATTTTACAGAGTCCTAAAAACAGAAGGGAAGATCACAAGAATCAAGTCAAAGATTTGGAACATAAAGAGCCAGAAGACACTCCTCCACAGAAGCTAGAAGGCAAGAGAATCCAGAAAATTGAAGATAATGTAAGAAACCTCTGGGACAACTTCAAGCGAACCAACATCAGAATTATTGGGGTCCCAGAAGATGAGAGAGGGCAAGATATCGAAAACATACTGAAAGAAATAGTGACAGAAAACTTCCCCCACCTGGGGAAAGAATTAGACTTACAAGTCCAGGAAGCGCATAGAACTCCAAACAAAAGGAATCCAAAGAGGACCACACCGAGACACATCATTATTAAAATTCCAAGAGCAAAAGACAAAGAGAGAATATTAAAAGAAGCAAGAGCAAAGAAGGTAGTAATCTATAAAGGAGCACCTATACGATTGTCAGCTGACTTCTCAACAGAAACCATGCAGGCCAGAAGGGAATGGCAAGAAATATTCAAGGTGATGAATAGCAAGAACCTACAGCCAAAGATAATCTATCCAGCAAAGCTATCACTCAGAATCGAAGGCCAGATAAAGAGCTTCACTAATAAAAAAAAGCTAAAGGAGTTCATCACCGCCAAACCAGATTTATATGAATTGCTGAAGGGGGTTCTTTCAGAAGATAAAGTAAACAAAGATAAAAATTATGAACAACAAATACGTAACTATCAACAAGTGAATCTAAAAACCAAGGAAATTAAAAAAATCTGATGAACAATATTAACTGTTGAATATAATAGAATCAGAGGTATGGAAGGGGAGTGAACTGACAATTCTTGGGGAAAAGGGGAGAGGGGGGCGTGGGAAGAGACTGAACATAAACTGTGCACATATGGATGAGGACAATGGGGAGAGGGGAAAGGGCAGAGGGTGGGGTGGGAACCTGGTGGAGGAGAGCAATGGTGGGGGGGGGGAAGGAACATTTGTAATAATATGAACAATAAAAACTTATAAAAAATAAAAAAAAAAAAAAAAAAAAAAAAAAAAAAAAAAAAAAGAAAATAAAGGAAATTTATTACCTGTATATGATACAGTAGTACGGTAGTTGTCAACACAACCAGACAAACTGTGAATCCTACAGTATCAAGAATTTACTCATTTATTCAATGACAATCATGTCATCATCTTCTGGAACATCATCATAGCAATCCAATTCCTGAATTTCCTGGTGAATTTCTTGTGACTCCATTTCTTTCAGAATCAGTGGACCAAATCTCTCATGTTTAGCCTGGAGGCGGCCTTATTTTCAGGAGGATGCCTCATATTTTACTCAGAAGGAAACCTGTAAGTAGGTCTTATTTTTGGAGGATGTCTTATTTTCAGGGAAACACGGTAGTAGGCATCCTAACTCTGCAGCCCAGCTGCAGGGCTGGGACTGCCAGGAGGGGGCGATGAAGAGTCACCGTGCTCCTGGATCCTGTTGTTTCTCCAGCACCCACCCCTGGGATCAAAGATTTACAATCACAGCAGAAATATATGTAGATGCACCTGTGAGAAGCCTGCTAATAGAATCTCACATCCTTTACCTGCAATTCCAACAACCAAAAAATATGTCTTTTGGGGGGCGTAATTTTGGCCCAGTTTCATATGGTGGCAAATCAACTAATATGAGTTATTTACAGTATTTATCTTCTTTGGTGTGAATTTTCATACATTTTGCTGCAAATATATTAACATATCTGATGGGAAGGAGGTTACTTTAGCCCTTGTGGGTGTTACGTAATCCAGGGCATTCGCTCAGAATCACCTTTCTAAAATTGGAACAATTCTGAGTACTGAGATGCATCTGTCTCCAAGGACTTCCGCTCAGAGATTATGGGCCTCCGCTTGGGCACGCGGCCAAAACTAGATTCATCTTAATTATTTGCTCAACATTTATTTAATGGCTTCGAGCCGAAACTCCTTTTTCATTACAATGTTTTCAAAATAGAAAATGAAGCTCACTTACTAAGTTCCCTTCGTTAATGTTATATTATTTTTTACTGTTGTGTGTCTGTGTGTTTGAAAGTAAAGTGTACCTATATGTGACTGTGTGAATGTCAATGTGTGAGGCTATTGTCTCTTTGTGGGTGTGACAATATTTCTCTCTCTCTGTGTGTGCATCTGTGGGTCTGTGTGAGAGACTGGGAGCGTGTTTGATCATGTCTGCGTGTCTGTGTGTAATTGTGTGTATGTGAGAGGAGTCATGACTCAGGGTTAAATTTAATATCCTGAGCCCTCGCCGGTGGATGGAGCGTCAGCCCGTGGAATGAAGGGTCCCGGGTTCGAGTTCAGTCAAGGGCACGTACCTGGGTTGCAAGCTCGATCCCCAGCCCTGGGCCATGTGAGGGAGGCAACCAATTGATGTGGTCTTTCTCAAACTTGGATGTTCCTCTCTCTGTCTCTCTCCATCCTCCCACTCTCTCTAAAGATCAATGGAAAAAAGTATCTGTGGGTTAT